ACCGGAAGCCATTTCCGCCTATCGATAGACTCCCGCGTGCCGGTAGCCGCACCCAACGAATACAATCCAGACGACTATATGTGGCAACTACAAGAATTACTACGCACAATCCACAATCTTGCAAGAGGTCATCTCGGAGCAGCCGCTGAAAGACAAAAAAACTACTTTGACCGCCGGATACATGGTACTCCCTACCAATTAGGCGACCTAGTGTGGCGCTTCCGCCCAGTACCTCCCCTGGGCACTTCAGCCCAGTTCTTCCATCCTTGGGAAGGACCATATGTAGTCGTAGACGTTCTACACCCCACCACTTACATACTTCGAGACGCGTCATACCCCGACGGCCCAACGTTCACTGCGCATTTCGATAAGCTTAAGCCATACCGGGGACGCCAACCTACGGCTACAGAGGACACCATGCCCATCATTCCTGCAAGTTTAGTACCCTTTCCGACTAGCAAAGAAATAATAGAGACCACGCTAACGGCGAGCCCTGCGGACAGGGCTTCAATTGAGGAGGGGTGTGTACCGGCAGACAGGGGCGAAGTTGGCGGGAAGTCAAAAAGGAAGACGAAGACGGCGATTTGTGGTGCTGGGCTTCGGACGAGCCTTCTTCTTCTTCACTTTACAGACCAGAAGGAGGGTTCAAACAGAGTTGAGAAGACGACTCCAGTGAATGTTGTACCTCCCCCAGAACCACAGCAGTGAAGTGCTCAATAATTCCTTTTGACCGCCGTTATCCCCATCTTTATTGAGACTATACGCTCCCTGCCCTCATTTACCCTATTTCGCTTTATAAATCTCTTGTGTACAGACCGTTCTCCTTCTACTGAGTTTCACAATAGCTTGAGTTTCTGATTGAAGAATGAGTGACGCTGACGATCCATGCAATTCAGAGTTGACGTGCGGTACTGGGCCCAAGCCAATCCTTGAAGGAGCAGCAGCCGCAAAGATCATTGCAGTAAAGAAGACAGGACAAGTGAGTGGCCCGTCTGCTACATCCAATCTTAGCTTTTTAATGGGAATCCTACCGCTCAGCCAGTAGACCTTTTGCCCAGGGCGGACGTTCCTGTATTTTACCCCTCGTCCAACATTTCCACACAACTGTTACATTGTTCTCCTTCCAGCGGGTCAGCTTCTGTGTGGAGTTAGTGTTAGCATACATAGTCTGTATAGCATACATACAACTCGGCAGATCGTGGATGTGTTTATAACCACACTGACTTTTAACTGATTTCCACGTCGTCATCCCAGGGTATCCTTTGGCGTTTCCACCAGATCACGACAAGGTGGGCCATGGCCCCGGGTGTGCCTGTATAAAAGAGAGCGGCGGAGAACGTAGTCCCGATGACTGATAGCGAGACCAGGATGCGACTTTTAAAGTATCTTCGGCGGACGTTCGCATCACATTATGCAGAGGGCCAGCACATGCGCGATACTGGAAGACCCGCAGAGTACCAACATCCATTTTCTCGAACCTTATCGGCAGCCATCATCGTTTAGTCTTGCCGCTAAAACCTAGCAGATATGAGAAGAAATAGCGAGGTTGGTGCACTGAAAGTCATCCTAACTACAGTTAAATGCATGAGAAAAACAACTTCACTGACAGTTGTGATTATTGTTGGCCGAGGCGAAGTACGAACTGCCTGATGGCTTTTTGCCGTTAATCTGTTTCTGGTTCCTCCATGTAACTGTTTTCTGATCTGTGCTCAGAACTTAGATGCTTCGTTTTGGCCGTGTATATAAGTCCGGCGGGCTCACAGGCTAGTGACCGGGCCTAAACCCAGTCATGCTATAATAAGAGCAGTGTATGGACGTGTAGGTGGGCTAGTTTCTAGGCATATACCGTCTCAGGTTCATTCCGCCTTTATTAATGGAAGCAAAACTCTAACGTGTTTACGACCTATTCTCTAAAGTAGTTGCTCATTGTGAATCCGTATGTTTGCGTTTCAGTTCACAGGTGATAGTTAGGGCTGTGCCAAAGTTGTTTAAACATTCACTGTTGCGTGTTGCCCATCCTTTTTATCCTATGCTAAGTATGAAATAAAGAGTGGCTTTTTCCGCTCATGCCGCCTATGGTGATCCTTAAAATATCCATAATAAAGCACGTGTTGAAGAAGAAGACACGATCGCCGGGACAAGAGCTTTATTAGCCTGACGTTTCGGATTCCTGCTCGAATCCATCATCAGAGACATAAGCAGATAAGGGTGGTCCATGCACATGCGGCTGCAGTATTTACAGGATGCAGTAGCCATGCTACCGCATACCTATGAATATTCACGGCTCCCTCCCTTTCATCAGGGATCGTTGCACATGGCGTGATGGCCGATATTCGCGTCGTTAATTGCTGCAATTTCATCACGTGCGTTGGATGTTGGTGTGATGATTGCTCGACCATCTGACGCGCTGACCCGGGTGTTGGGAAGAGTTTTCACCAGTGCGCTCCCCGCGTGGCCAATTACCCCACCTAGACGAAGTCTCAGCACGCTGTATTGAATGGGAAGATTATTGCACTTGTTAATAGACTGGGGGCCAGTAAACCATGACTCAAGCAGCTCCCGGCTCACGCGGTTGTCATCTCTTGCGAGAATTTCGGCCTCGTCAAATTTGAATGTGTGGTCGGAACCCGTCGAATGAGCCGCAACTTGAGAGCTGGCGTCATTTCTCCGCACTGCTGCAGCGTGTCCGGCCATTCGCGTTCGGAGCTGTCTTCCGGTTTCTCCGACGTAGTTGCTTTGTCCGCAACTGCACCAGATCCGATAAACGACTCCAGACGTTTCTTGCCGTGGCTTTTTGCCGTTATTCTGTTTCTGGTTCCTCCATTTAACTGTTTTCTGATCTGTGCTCAATACTTAGATGCTTAGTTTTGGCCCCATACTCGTGTATATAAGTCCGGCGGGCTCACAGACTAGTGATCGGGCCTAAACCCAGTCATGCTATAATAAGAGCTGTGTATGGACGTGTAGGTGGGCTAGTTTCTAGGCATATACCGTTTCAGGTTCATTCCGCCTTTATTAATGGAAGCAAAACTCTAACGTGTTTACGACCTATCCACTAAAGTACTTGCACATTGTGAATCTGTATGCTTGCGTTTCAGGTCGCAGGTGATAGTTAGGGCTGTGCCAAAGTTGTTTAAACATTCACTGTTGCGTGTTGCCCATCCATCTTATCCTATGCTAAGTATGAAATAAAGAGTGGCTTTTTCCGCCCATACCGCCTATGATGATCCTTAAAATATCCATAGTAAAGCACGTGCTGTTGTTAGTATTCTGTTTTTTGCTTGTCCTCACTCCCGGTCTCCCCTTGAGTTTTAGTGTTTTATTCCTGAATTGTCATCTCCAGTTTGCTAGCTCCATGGTGTTCTTTGACAATACCTACCTTTAGCAATTATTATTCAAACGTGGACTATGACCGTTCACATTTTCACTTCCTCTTTATACACGGTGACCAAATTGGGGCGCAGCCCTCGTTAGCAGACGCTACCAGCTGTATACACTGAAGAGGTCGGTTCACAGGCGACGATTCGATCAGTTGATTTCCCGACAAGTTATAATTCGTAGCTGCTCGAAGAAGCCATGTATAGGCGTAGCAGTTATACGGATGGATTAACTGATCAGCCCTTTCATCGACTAGTTTTTATTTAGGTTGGCGACACGTTTTCCCCCCGGGGAGGGGGGGGGGTGTGGCGAATTCACCGAACTGCTGACGTCTTAGGAAGCTTGATTGACTGTCGGCTTTCAAATCAGTCAACGCATAAAAGTCGAATGGGAATTCAAGTGTTTTGCCGAGCGGATACCACCAACTACCATCATACCGAACGGCATGCATGACAGACTGACACACTGATAACTGCACAGACATTCCGGCCCCGTTCTAACGCTCGCCCTGTACTTAGTACATTTCTTATTTACCTCGGTCCCTGTTTTCAGGTGTTCCGCGGGATATGGCTGAGTTTTGTGCCGTTTTCATCTATAAGTGAAGTCTAAACCGCCACTAATTGGCGACTATCGGGATTCAATCAGGCATCAGTGATCACGATCTCCCATCGTAGTCTTTGTGCTCAGAATATGCCCAGTGAAAGGAGAACGCGACTGCCGACACCTTTTAACAAACAAAGATGGGTATTATCATCAGTTCTCACTTCTATCCCAAAGTCATACATTTGACTCATTAGCGCAGTTTTTTCCTCCAACAGCGCTCACTTACCTGGATCCGCCTACTCATCTTCGTACTTTCGGGCGCGTCACGCACTCTGGTCACTCGGATGCAGCTGCTATCGCACAACGCGCTCTATGTTCCATCCTGCTCTGGACTTCTGGCGACAGTCGAACTTCTCACTAATCGATTCGTCAGGTTCAGCTTTCTCTGGGGTAGTTTTTCGGCCACCATTACCGCTCTTGCCAACCCGCCGGCAGATGCTTGCCAGGACAAGCGAGCACAGTTTTACCCCACGTGTATTTCTGCATCCGTTCTTCCCTCCGTTTCGAGCAACTGCTGTAGCCAACAAAGGCTTAGTCTGTGCATGCACCGACCAGACTGTTTAATCTTCCGCCCCATTGTCAATTGCATCACGTCGTTCGGTGTCCTGGCGGAGGAACCGTAGGCCCGCATTATATCTCAGTCTTATACTCGTAGCTTACATCCTCGCTAAGGCACGGTATGGGTCATGTAGTAACCGCTTCGGGCCGACGTCGCATTGACAATACCTGTCAGACGCAGGTGTTCCTCAACCGGTCTGTTTATTCTCTATTACTGAGGGTGCCATGAACCCTCTCACCTTTGCCCGGGCTGGTTGGCGCACACCGCTGAGGGCAACCACCGGGTCCCTTTTGCTTGGACAGCGTTTTATCATTTCCGTACTGTTATTTGACATTCTTCCGCCCCCTTCCCCCCCCCCTGCCTCCCCATCGGCCCTCTCCTCAAAGGAACCTATCCTTTTTGGTTGTCTAAACCTGATTCGAAAACGGATATTAATGGATCCTGTCTTTCAGCTTGCAGAATGACGTCGGAAATCAGCGTGGAACAACTGGAGATATCTAAAAATCTTTTACAAATGAACTTTATGCGACGCACCCTTCTGGCTAAGGAGCGTGCTGCGGGTGTTAGCGCACAGGAACCACTACTTCCGTCCGTGGAATCCGAATTCTTCATGCCTGAAAGCGCTATGACGAGGCTTTCACAAAGACTGGAGGCTCTATCTAAAAAGTAAGGCTATCGTTCTAACTTTTTCACTGTCAAATTTTTTTCTTCTTTCCATTATGCTTTCCATGCATATTATGTCCTGATTCAAGGTGGTCAACCAATCAGGCATTTAAACTAGGCACTTTGGCAAGATAATAACACTATTCACTGGTAGTCGTGCGCTCTTTGCGCATGCAGCATCTGGTGAGTGTTGCGCGGAGTTACTGAAATCACTTCCCAAAGACAATAGTTTTATCTTGCTACATGCAAATTAGGTTGTGGAATCGCTGACTAGCACTCGCTTACTGCACTCCGAATTGCTAATCTCCCCCTCATCAGGTGGAGCCTCGATTCTCTAGAACCTAGAAGCTACAAAATTACCAGGAGAAGTCCTATTTCAAGCGATGCCCCACTGCTTACGTCTGTCATATTCGGATTTTGACGTTCCTACACTTTGTTCTTGAAATCGGATTAAAGTCGAAGCACAGGTGACTTTGAACTCCGTGGGCAACCATTTGCTGCCCAAATGACCTATGCACAATCTGTCTTCTAGTCAAGGATCAGCGTTGAGAGAATTTTAGTGAAACAAGTGTTTCGTAAGACTAACACGGAATTAAAATACACGGGCTTAGGAAGTCCTTGACGGTTTCGGTAATTAAACCTCCAGAGTGCGCACTTAGGAAGCCTTCACCTGACCACCACCGATCCTAATTACAAAAATATGCCGACTGCTCATGCAGCCAGTCAGCTTCTAAGTGGAGTTAGTGTTAGCATACATAGTCTGTACAGCATACATACAACTCGGCAGATCGTGGATGTGTTTATAACCACACTGACTTTTAACTGATTTCCACGTCATCCCAGGGTATCCTTTGGCGTTTCCACCAGATCACGACAAGGTGGGCCACGGCCCCGGGTGTGCGTGTATAAGAGAGACCAGTGAAGAAGGTAGTCCCGGTGACTGAGAGCGAGACAAGGATGCGACTTTTAAAGTATCTTCTGCGGACGTTCGTATCACAATATGCGGAGTCTGGTCCGATTCGAGGGAGGGCAAGCACATGCGCGATACTGGAAGACCTGCAGAGTACCAACAGCTATTTTCTTGAACCTTATCGTCCGCCATCATCGTTTAGTCTTGCCGCTAAAACCTGGCAGATATGAGAAGAAATCGCGAGGTTGGTGCTCTGCAAGTCATGCTAATTACAGTTAAATGCATGAGGAAAACAACTTCACTGGCAGTCGTGCTTTTTGTTGGCCAAGGCGTAGTACGAACTGCCTGATGGCCTTTTGCCGTTATTTTGTTTCTAGTTCCTCCATTTAACTGTTTTCTAATCTGTGCTCAATACTTAGGTGCGTAGTTTTGACCCCATGCTCGGGGCGGGTGACAACTTCAATTCTGACCGCTCTGTCAGCTCACTAATACTCCGAACCCCTCTCAGTTGCATCACGCAGCGGCACGATATCGGCGCAGTGCGCAGTGACGATTCGTGTGAATTGAGCAACAAATTTCCGAGGCATCTGCCTCATTCTCCGCTCTCACACCCACGAGACACGAGGCGCAGTGGCCGCTGCTGCAAAGATTGGTTCTCTCTGGCGAACTGATCCGACTGGCTGATAACGCAGGGATTGCCAACCTTGAAGGCCATCTTCACAGTCGCTCTACACGGCACGGCTATAGCAAACTCTGGCCGAGGTCTTGAAGTGCGCTACGGCCGTCTGCTGCTGCTGCAGCTACCATCAGAGAGACAGCCGCAATGTCGGATACTTGTGGAAAAATTTGCCACGATTTTTGTCCAGTAGGAAGGCGCTTCGGCGTCTGAATATGGTTGCAACTGCGATCCACGATCTGCGAAGGAGGTCTTTGGCGCGATTGCAAAGCAGAAGGGCAACGCAGTGCCTGGCCAGTTGTCTGGCCTTCCGATCCAATTTTTTGTCAAGTTGGAGACCGTTGCCACGGAGTGGATCGATGCCGTCAGTGCACCGATTATGAAGGGCGACAGACGACTGTGTATTAACTACTATGGCAAGGATATTCACAGTCGCCCCCTTTCCCGAACCCTTCTGCATGCACCGCGTTGCTCGGATAAGGAAGAATCAGTAGGATCTTTAGTCACGATGGAGATGTGCTGACCAACCTTTCTCGCTCTGCTGACTTCTGGGACCTCGCTACTACCAACAGCTAGTTATCGTCCGTTTGAGAGTTATTGTCTCTGTAGATTTTTAATTTCCCCAGAAATTAATCGCTAACTTGGAGGAAATCAGTCGGGGGGAGGGGGTGGCCGCACTGATGAACCGTACCCCTCGAAGTTGTGTCATTCTGCGGCAGCATATCGGCGAAACACCCGTGTCTTGACTTTTAGTAGTACCTGTGCTGCCGGTCAGGTGAAAATATATCTTTTGTTGCGTGCCTCCAAGCGCTCGCCTCTTAAGTGTAAGTTATTATCTCTGTCAGTCAGACTCACGTCAGGTGTGGATCCTGCAACATGACAGCATGCAACTGAAATGTCTCTTCTCTACTCTAACTTGCCGATCGATTTGAATCCACCCGGAATGGGTCTGCCATGGAGAGTGATCGTTCGTAGTATGTCAAAATTAAAACGTGGAGTCAGCCGAATCCGTTATTATGGATGCCTTTTGAAACTGCAGCGTAAAATTGCGAACCGGTTCCAGAAACTCAAAATAACACCCGTTGAGTCTGCGGTATTTTGCCAGATTCAGAGCCATCGTATGCGCCTATTCGGCTAGATGCGGAGACAGTCTCCAAAATATCGCTTATCATTCCATAATACCGCAAAGTTTGCCAACGTTTGTGTGCGACACGTGCTGTATGTCATTACTTCCAATATCAGCTCCAAGCAGTTCGACTCACTCGTCGTTGACATGGGAGTAGGCAGCGATAGTGAGGTCACTTCTTCTGGAATATAGCACTCAACTTTTTTACAAACAGCCAAACGTCCTCCCGGTCTCCCGCTGGTCAGTAATGATCTCAGCTTAGAGGGTTTCCAGCCGACGGGATGGCCCAGTCTTGCTTGGAAGTGAGAGTCAGGCCTTAATGGCTATATTTTAACATATAGATTATGGTGTCTTCCGGTCAGATGCAATTTGAACTTGGCGGAGACTACTTGTGTAGAGTCGGGTGCGGGTTGCGTGTGGCACGCGTACACGCGAATTCGGCCTCGTCTGTCACCGCACCCATACCCATTTCCTGTTTCCTTCGCTCTACCTCGCAATTGGATTGAGGTGGGCGTGACAAGACAGAGGAAGACTGAAACTGTGCAAATCGCCCTTGAAACTCTAGGACTGCGGTGCTTATTACCTGCAACGGCCAAACTACCTCATGTTTGTTTTTTGATTTGCGAGACGGGCTGAACGTCTAATTGCGACCCAGAAATACTTAGGCCATGCTAGTCTCTCAGACAACACTTGTCATCTAGGGGCCTGCGTAAATGTGCGTGACATTCTCCCTGCGCATTGATCTCTTGTCGTTAGCTATGGTTGTTGCTTTTATGAAGGGCTGGATTCCCTGCGTCAGATTCACATGATTCGACTTCTTTCAACGGAACAGCGAAATAACTGTTTCTGACTTATCTGTCGTCGTCCAACTGTCGAACAGAATCAAGAGGCTGAGTGGTCCCCAAATGGTCGCGTCCTGGTGAAATGCCTTCTAACGCCCCAAACGCCGGAGTTCTGTCTCTTGAACTCTAGTATGTTCTCAAGACCAGGTTGGTCCTTTAGTAACCAGATCACACTGTAATCTCAGGTCTTCTCAACATGATCTTCCCGATCCTGCACGAGCTCTGCCACACCGGCTGACATCATCTCACCTGGCGTACATGACCGCAGCTGGTGCAGGCAACAGAATGCGGACGATCGCGATTCAATCGACGATCGACGTTCCAACGCTGGGAAACACTCCTCTTTCGATCGTAACAAAATGCGTTCTCACGACGCACCGGCAGTACACGAGCTGACCGCTTGACGTGTCGGGTTCTGTCTCGCTTATGAACAAGCTTCTAAATGATGGTTTCTCCTGTGGTTGGTCCTCCGACTTCTGCTGTTCCACGTTACGTCTAACTTCAGTCGCCACACAGCCCGTGTGTTGGACCGACAGAGTGCTTCTGAGGTAGCGGTCACTGAACGCACTCAGTTTTCGCCCGTCTCCAGCTATCATTACCTACAGTTTGAAATAATACAAAGGCATTATTCGCATAGTTGCCCTGTGAACTCGAACGCTGGTGTGGTTGTTGGCTTAAATTCCTTCTTCCGCACGTTTTTCGTAGCTGGCGACTGCCGGATCAGTTGTGTCAATCCATATATGATCACCATCCTCGATTTTTCCACTCAGAAGGTGGATTACCTAAAAGTGACCGAGCTCATCGAATCTGTGATCTCCGTAGGGTTGATCGTTAGCCAAACAGACTTACAAAACTCCTTTTATATTGATGATGATCGTCTGTAAGTCACTGCCCTTCGGGATTTTCCGCAGGCAACCGAGATAATCGAGTCTGGAGCCGAAGTTGAATTCACCAATTTCAGGACCTCGAAGTGCTGTCGGATCTTAAGTCAGCGGTTTGCTTGAAAAGAATCGGCCAACGAATTCTCCCACATCGTATAGAAAAACACTTAAATGTAGGATACCAATTCTCGCACACTCTCTGTGCCGGCACGAACAAGTGGAGTTAAAGAATAGAGTAAAAATGTGCCAAAAACAGTTTATTTCAAAAATGTAATGGCTATGAAAATTTGACAGAAGTCACTTTCACCGATCAGGACATGCTCCTCCGTTGTGCCTTGAGGCCCAATCTAGAGCCCTCATGGGCAAAGGCAAGGGAGACTGGGATGATCCGTTTCTGGCCGTCGTAAGGATTGGATAACTAGGGAGGATTCGAGACCGGATTCGTTGTTAGGTAGTCCAACGCTCTACCATTGAATCGCGGACTCATTATCTTGTCCGTTGCAATTCATAAGACGGGAAGTTTCACTGCAACTCATTACGCGATCCGAGCTCGGAAGCAGTCGCCCTTCTGCTGACTTTTCTCGACCGACTTAAAAAATATAGTGATGTCAATACTACTAATGGTACTTAATGTGGTTTATGCAGCCCAGTTGTCCGTCACACGGCGGACTGTGGACGCCCCACGAGTGCCTACCTTCGAGCCAGCTACAATGGCTTCAATCCGCACCTCTCAGCCCTGATCGAGACCGACCTCCCCTCGCCCAGCCGTCCTCCTCCGAAACAGGAAGCGATGGATGACCGCACAATGTCCGGTAAACAGAAGCAACGCAAGTTGATTGCCTCCTACAAACGGCACTCCCAAGGTACGTCTGTGCCTTTCAGTACTTCCATCGGTACCTGGTGGTAGATGCAGTAGATGTTGCGCAAGTCTACTATCAATTTAAATTAATTCACGCGCAAGTCACCGTCCCTGCTCCGCCCTGCTGTGGAGCATACGGTGGACATCGTCGAACTCGACGGCCGAAATGAATCAGTCTAGCTGTGAAAACTCGGTTGAGCCGTAGCTCTCCGGCCGCCTGTTACAGGATTGTTCCGAACGGCAGATGAAGCTGTGTTTGCTTGGGGGCAGCACTATGTCGTACTACCCCTATGGCTTGTGGTCTTTTCACTGATGACCGCCTTACCAGATCTATTCCCTGTTCGCGTTCGTTTGTCCGTCAGATCCCAGACCCCCTGTTTGTGACTGACCCACACCGAAGGCCGATCTACAGTCTGTCAGTGTGGGCTGATCCTTATGTCAGGTGCCGTTTTCCGCGCTCCTCTCAATCCCCGTTCACGGCCCTGTAGTGGTTAGTTGTGTAGTGCTGCCTTCTCCTAACAGTAGCATTCTTTGGGAATGCATGGAAATCGCTTCGCCATGCTCTCAACACAGACGCACTAACTGCAACCCTATTTCGTCGACTTTATCCCGTCGCTGTCTGACGCTAATGGGTGAGGTTCGGCCCAGTAGTTGACCCTACCAGTTCTCCCCCCCCCTTTAGAACTCCTCACACACTCGCGAAGGAGACACGATCGTTGGAACAAGAACTGTATTAGCCTGACGTTTCGGATTCTCACTCTAATCCATCATCAGAAACAGTCAGATAAGGGTAATGGACTGCCCAGGTGTTGCAGTATTTATAAGATGTAGTTGCTAAGCCGCTACATGCCTATCGCAGTTGGCAGCTCCCGAGTGCATCACGGCTCGACTGGCCAGGTGTTAAAGTATGCAGTTGCCGTACAGTTACTATGCGCTTGTGTGCCGGTCAAGATTATTGACTCCCACGCTCATCACACGCAGTCGAGTTGTTGGCGGCCGGATTTAGTCATTCGGCAGTTTGACTCGCCGATATGGACATCAGGAACAGTGGTCATTCGCACGCTGTCCTCGCGGCTAATTACTTTGCGTAGACAAAGTCTCAGCGCGGAATATGGTGAGGGAAGGTCGTTGCGCTTGTTGATTGATTAAGGACCGGAAAACCATGACTCGAGCAGTTAGCAGCTCACGCGGTTGTCACTTCTAGCAAGAATTTCTGCCTCGTCTAACTCGAATGTGTGGTTTTCGACTTTGTGGTGTATCAGACTGATAGCATTGCGGTATGTGCGGACGGCGCGGCCCTCGATCGGGGCCCCGTAGTTCTGATGAAAGTTGGATGTCCTCAAGTTTTGCCCCTGCTTTCGTGGGTTCGAATCCAATCGAGACTGTAGAATTTTTCATAACAAGCACAAAATATGGTTTACCTCTTCAAATTTTCTACTCTAAGCAAACGGTATCTTCCACCTTTATTCGCAAATAATTCTGAATTCTACCTACTCGTGTTGTTTATGGTTTCGAAACCACAGCCTGTGAATCTCCAGTTATGCAAGATATTACACGTACCTATGCTGCTCGGAAGATGCCGTTTAGCACTCGTAAAATGTGGCAATGTGGCAGCTTTATTAAACGAGCAGATACGGCGCCACTTGAGGAAACACTTCATTGTCTTGAAAAAACTTTCTGACTGAAGGCTTTAAATCGAAGGATACTTTTTCTTTGAGTAGAGACCTTGTAGAAGACTTCATTCAGCGCGTACTTTTGTTTGAATTCACGAAGGCGCTGAAAGTCGTTGCCAACATTCACACTACTTACGTAGCTGTTAGCGAGCATGAATTCTGCGGTTAACCAGAAAGACGAATATTCTAAGTCCAATATGCTAACGCGAATGAAATATCCTATAATTGCGCTGCATGATAACCAGCATTACAATTTCACCTAAGTAATCCTTTGTCATTGAAATAGCATTTTCGAATGTCAGTTAATGATTTATGGGCTACATCAACTACGGTATTTACTAATTAAAGCAGTCAAATACAAGCGGACTGATTCATTTACCCAGGCTTGGGCCTTAACGATTTGCAACAGAACTTCTTTTTTCTCCTCATTTCCTTTTTTTCTCATTTTTCCCCTAGGCGATGCCCTTCATTCCCCGAAGCCAGCAAAGCGAAAAAGATCCCTCTGAGGCTCCTTCTTAGTTCTCCGAAAATGTCTGCGCCTGCAGCTTGTACATACTTGCTCCTTTCAAGTTGCAATTAAAGCTCATGTGCTTGAAGTTGTCTGTCTAGTTGTGCTGTTTCGACCGTCGCAACTGACACTTCCTCGAATTCAGTCGATGCCATCCGCCGCGCAACGTCATTCAGCCGTATCTGTTTGGCACGAATAAAGGCGAATGTTCGAGTCCCAGGTGTGCGTATGGGTAGGAAAAGAGAAGACTGGTCGAACACCGGAACACCTTGTTTATTATTCTAAGCCTTGAACTCGTGTAGGAGTCTGTTGTCAGAGATGGCATCAGCAACGGAACAAGTGACCGTTATGGCGCGTGTAAGCCAATCATCGACCGACGGCGCAAGACTGGAAGTGACTGCACAGGACCCTGTACGCCAGATTGATCGACTGAGTTCTTAGCCTATCAGCGGCAGGATGTGCGGGTCCGGAGGTGAGTACCTACGGTTCCCTTTGCGTACTCTGAACGTGTGTTCAGTCTGACCTGTAATTACAAGGACAGTTAAGTCATAGAATGTGATACACCACTCCAGGCTGCTCCTTGGGATTTAGTCGGTCGTTGGTCTCCATGACCCTACCGCGCTTGGTTGCTTTAGGCCTGTGCACTATTCCAACACGCATGCAGCGATGAGCTCGGTTGTTCCTGAGACGGGTGGCTGTCGCGTGCAGCCCACTTTATCGTTGTCACAAAACCTGCCTACTGCCTTTATTTTAGTAGGTATGTATTGGTAGCTTTAGTGCAGTCAGGGTTGAGATTGGTCAATTTGAATACGAGATTTTGGGCATAAAATAAGGGGTTCCGATTTTAAAGTCAGAGTAAGGCTTCTGATCTTAGGATTTTAAGATCAGAGCCAGGACCCAAGGACAGGGCTTTAGGGTTTCGAGGTTGGTGTTGGAGTTAGGGTTTTAGAATTGGAGTTTTTCCAGGGTTAGGGTCTTAAGTTTGGTCGAGGAAAACGCATAATGTGTCCTTTGCTAACTACGAAGTCACAGCTGCCGGTGATGTCCTGTGTAAGGAGATCGACCGTGGTCGGCCCACTAAGACACGCACGACGGATTCAGGACTGACGGCTGATTTGTATTTACTGCTTTTGTGAATGGTCTTCTCCACATTTCCTCGATTTTCAGTCTTCCAACACGTCCCTTTTGGCGTGTTCTGCTTCTGTTTTCGTTATTGATATGCATACTTTTTCGTTCCTTGGTCCTTTATTTGTGTTCATATTGGTTTCGGTTTGCCAGCTACCTGCGATTAGGCTAATCGGCTATTTCCATTTTTCCATACCTTACTTACTGGCTCAAGTTTTTCCCGCCTATTGTTGCACTTAATCAAGAGAACGACGTATTTTGCGAAGCAGACTGTACATCGCCTCCTCTAGACCCGCACAGAAAACCCCCTAGCAGTACCAGTCTCGTATTGCAGGCATCCTTGCTTCTCGCCTTATGATCAGGGTTGCACGTGATACCGTCGCCTTAAAAGGCTCTTCGTGTACGGCAGAGTGTGCCTTACCATCGGCGTATAAACGCTTTTGGGTAGCCATTCCGTATAGTGTTCGCGGAGTCCTCTGTCTACCCGAGCGATTTCGGCCGTCACAGTTAACCTCTACACAAGTTCGAAGGGGTTGCTTCATTCAGCGGTGTCTTTTTGTCGATAGACGTGAAAAGGCCAATTTCAGGAAGCAACTGGGAGGGAGGGGGGACGGAGACGCGATCAAGAATCTTTCTCGCCTGACTCTTTGGATTCTCACTCGAACCTGCCATTAGAGACAGCTTCAAATAGGGGTGGTGGGGGCGCACGCCCGGCCGCAGCTTCAAATCCGATGAGGCCGGAGTCCCCTCGCGCAAGATGCCAACCGCTTTGCATCATACCTGCAGCTTATTTATAGGTGCGATCGCCTTCCCTACATAATTTGTGCTGAGGCTTTACGTGGATGGTTTGGGTTCCAACTGAGTGGACGTGCCATAGAGTCCAAAACAAAGAAGGATCCTTTGTGACCTGACTCACGCTCCCTGAGAAGACAGTTATCCGGTCAGTCGATCAGGAATGCGGTCTTCGCGATACCACCATCTGACTGTTAGCTGCGTCTAAGCCCTGGGGATATCCTAAGCTGCAGTGGAGATGTGTGCAGAAAGCGATTTCCCAGGGGTAGCTAGTAAATAAGCTCAGATCAGCGAAGGATTGCAGTATAATTTTTTATTAGACAGACAGATGCTCGTGTCGCACAGTGGAGGAGGTCTTAAAGAAAGCCGTAAAGACATGAATATAACGAGTTAGGACACTACGGGAGAACTGGGTCAACTTTTCCCTAACGACCGCCTTTAAGCATCTCCAAGAGAGACACGTGTCGGATGGCAAGCGCGAAGAGTCTGCAAAAGGACGAGCGCAGAAATTAATGAGATATTGGTACGAAAAACGTAGGTACACTTTCAACTGGGATTTTAGCATCTCTGAAAAAGGAGAGTGGAGCACCGGAACACTGTGTTTATTGTCCTGTGCTTTCAGACTCGTGTAGGAGTCCATCGTCAGGGGTTGCAGCGGCAGCGACATAAGCGATAATTATAAGGCATGTAGGCCAATCATCAACCGACGGCGCAAGACTGGAGGTGACTACTCAGGGCTCCGTACGCCAGTGCCAGATCGATAAATCGATTGACCGAGTTCTCATCCGAGGCCCAGGTTTCAATTAATTCTCGGTCTGCTAGCATGCGACCCCATTAGTGGGCGAAGCTGAACGGGGATTCGGTTACGACGAAGTCTTTCAGACTACAGGTGGATGGTCGGCCCCATTATCTTCCGACTTGAGTATGATTCTTTGGTCATGAATATTTATTATTTTCGGTCGAAACAGCCCGGAAGGTACGCTTAATGGTCACGTACTATGTCGCTGGAAGAACTGGATAAAAGCTCTATCGGGAGAAAAAGAAGATGCGGTCGCTGGAATAAGAAATTTATCGGCCCTACGTTTAGGCCTCTCACTCGAACCCATCATCAGAGACAGTTGCAGAAAAGGGTAATAGGGGACAGAAGGTGCGCAGTTGCCTGTTCGTTTATAAAAGCTTTTTGTTAAATTAGGCCACATAGGGGACAGTTTTCCATAGTTGGGACTACGCGTATCAACCCTACGTATTCTGACATACTGACACTGACAGGAAGGGTCGCACATACCACAAATATTCGATCGGGCGCATTTAATTATTCGACAATCAAGAAGGAATGCATACGAACTCTAATAACAGTCTTATTGGCTTAGATTTTGCATCAGGCTCCACCCATCGACTCGCAGAATTCAAATCGTGTCCGCAAATGGGTACCTGTTGAAGCCCGCGGCAAACAGGATTATCCAATCACAGCACCCAGGTTTCCGGCTCGGGTGTATCTCGGTATCCCAAGGATTACCTGCAAGCAAACATATGCCAACCTTGAAGAGATTCGACAGCCAAAGTGCGATTCGCATCTCATTGCCACCAGGAACATGAGATAATCGAAATACTTATGGAGGGCAGAAGGATGAGTGAGAAGGCAGATGACTGCCGCGCAGTTTTTTTCAGAAATCGGGGACAGAATGAACTGACGCAGCGAACGCTCCGTCACCGCAATCTAGTTTACATTTTCGTTTCAAAAATGGCAATTTGAAAGCCAGCGTGCCACACTATAGAAATTAGCCTGACTTTACAGTGCAGGACGGGACTCATTAAATATGCGTAAATTCATGAAAAACCCCTAAATACATCGGGGAACCCTCCGGATTGGTGATTAGAGGCCCTCGGTTAAGTAAACGCACAAAAGACGCTCTGGGCGTAGTACTACGTCGGTTAGAAGTAACAACTACCCTATGAAAAGCAGAAACTCCAAAGGCACGAATATTCATGTCAAACCAGTGAAGTAGGTCTTCACAAGTCAGTAAAGCCTGCTGATGCAAATAATTCAGTAGACAGCACAGCAACAGTCCGATCGTCCTGTACGACGACGCCCACTGAGTGCTCCCACGCAGTGAGCGCAGAAATGCCTGCCACACGCGCCTGGTTCGTGATTTCACCGAGACAGGAGAGGCGTGGCTCGAAGTGCTACAGAAACCGCGTTAACAAGGGGCCACGACGCTTGAAACACCGTCCTGAGAGGGAGGGGGGAGGACGTGTAGCACCTCAACCGAGACTAAGCCTTCTACCTCTGGAACCCAAGCCGCGCTAAGAGTCATGTGATCACGACCACCCGAGCGCCAGGACGTGACCACATTCGGCTCCGAGGATGGCTAATCACAGGCGCCGACAAACGCCACCATCACCCGGTCAATTTATCCCCCCCCATCACGTCCAAATGCTCCCGGTATGTGGATTGTCGTCTGAGGAGACGCGACTGCTGCGCCCTTCGCCTTAGCCCCCACTGCTTCCTAATTTACCGTTTCTGATTCCCCCCCCCCTCCGTATTCCGACGCCACCTGCGGGGGAAAGCGAATTGTGGTCGATTTCTCTTATCCCTCACACGCCCTACTTGGACTGCGATACCATATAGGTGTACCAGCCCGACAAGTATTTGTCGAAAGCACACATATGCTCGCCAACCGATCTTCTGAATATTCGGACTCTCTCAAACCCATCATCAAAGCTCTCCAACCAACCGCCCTTTCTTTTTTTCACCAAATTCTGTGACTCAGCCAGACAGTCCTTGAAAAAAACCCTCCGGAATGGGACTTTAAAGTGAAACATTGAAACCTAAGCGCGCCTCAACTGAGGGTCATGCGGTCTGCCCAGCCTCACTTCCCACCCTCTAGAAAAATTAAATGCTGAATAATTTTTACTGGAGATTGTTGGTCAATAAACTCAGGGCAAAGTAAGAAGTAGGTAAGTGCAGGCTTTTAAAAAAGATCACGGTGCGGATTATGAAAGTAGTAAAAACACGGAAGACGTGCGACGTGCGCCAATTTGGACCTCATATCCCTGCAGCCTGTTCACCATGAAGCACCA